TATAATATTATTATTATTATTATTATTATTATTATTATTATTATTATTATTATTATTATTATTATTATTATTATTATTATTATTATTATTATTATTATTATTATTATTATTATTATTATTATTATTATTATTATTATTATTATTATTATTATTATTATTATTATTATTATTATTATTATTATTATTATTATTATTATTATTATTATTATTATTATTATTATTATTATTATTATTATTATTATTATTATTATTATTATTATTTATTATTATTATTATTATTATTATTATTATATTATTATTATTATTATTATTATTATTATTATTATTATTATTATTATTATTATTATTATTATTATTATTATTATTATTATTAATTATTATTATTATTATTATTATTATTATTATTATTATTATTATTATTATTATTATTATTATTATTATTATTATTATTATTATTATTATTATTATTATTATTATTATTATTATTATTATTATTATTATTATTATTATTATTATTATTATTATTATTATTATTATTATTATTATTATTATTATTATTATTATTATTATTATTATTATTATTATTATTATTATTATTATTATTATTATTATTATTATTATTATTATTATTATTATTATTATTATTATTATTATTATTATTATTATTATTATTATTATTATTATTATTATTATTATTATTATTATTATTATTATTATTATTATTTATTATTATTATTATTATTATTATTATTATTATTATTATTATTATTATTATTATTATTATTATTATTATTATTATTATTATTATTATTATTATTATTATTATTATTATTATTATTATTATTATTATTATTATTATTATTATTATTATTATTATTATTATTATTATTATTATTATTATTATTATTATTATTATTATTATTATTATTATTATTATTATTATTATTATTATTATTATTATTATTATTCTTATTTTTAATTATTAGCGCCCTTTTTAAAATTATAAATCTCTCACAAGCTCAACTTTTCTCAAATTTTTAATTAAAGAAAATAAATGTACATATATATGTATTTACATAAATATGTATGTACATAAGTATACGAGTATGTATTTTAGGAGATCACAAACGCTTCTTTTTTTGGGTTACATAACAGATGAAAATATGTATACAGACAGTATGTACATATTGTAGTGGAGTAAAATAAAAATTGCATAATGTTTTAAAAAAGGTGGATTTGATCCACTCCCTTATACTGATAGAAAACCCTTTTATTAGTAGAAATGTATATTTATGTATCTGAAAAACTGCGTTTGTAATAAATAGTGGGTCTTACTATGTAATTCGATTTTCGTATGGAAAAAATGGAAAGCTAGTACCATACAAATTGATTGGTTTGGGGCTACCATATCATTTTTGCGAATACGAAAATCGAATTACATAGCAGGGCCCGGGTTCTAACATAATACTAACAGCCTGATCGTGTATTTCGTTTTTTAACTCACTTTTTATTCACTTTTAAATAAGAATTCTCAGTTTTTTCTAATGGATATTTTACTTTTCTTTCCTATTTTTACTTTTTTCCTATATTTTATATATTTCCCTATAAGATTGCTCATTTTTTCAATTGGTTTTTTGCGTTTTTTCTCAAATTATCGACTGATCAAATTTTCAAAAACAAAGTGAATAAATTTTGTATGCATTTTAGAAAAAAGCGAGATACGCAATGCTAAGTAAAAAAGCTGAGTTTCTGAGTAAAAAAGCGAGATAGACGATCATTCCCTTAATGCGTCCTATATTTGATAGTAAAGGCACGTGTTGTCAAAAATTCTGACAATGCAGTTCGCTTTATAACTGTGTACATATATGCATGTTAAAATTTTTAAGATACATATATTTGGATACATTTTTACTTTAAATTTAGCTTGGATACAAAGTACTCAAATCTGCTAAACAGCTGAAATTTTCTACATTTGAAAATTTTGCTGAAGTATGGATACATTTATTTCTTAAACACTAAATAAATATTACAAAACTTTTAAAATGCTGATAATATTAAATCGCGAAATTACTTTATTTTCAAAAAATGTTAATTGCTGGCTTTTCTAAGCAGATTTCCGAATTTATTAGAAGAAAGTAAGAAAGATACTTTATTAAATGAGTACTGCCTCTTCCTGTATTCATATCTAGAATATTAAGACAAGAACGTACCAGAAATATTTTGGTGTAAGTGTAATAGAAAATGCATTTTCTGTATTTTTTAAAATTATTCCGTTTTCATGGTGAATCGTCTTTGCTGCATAGTTCAACAACGGCAGAACATACATTATGTATTTTCTGACCTTAACTTTTAAAGTTTTATGTGATTTGTTAAAGAATTTATTATAAATAACAAAACTCACATTGTTGAATAAAGCAATTGATATTATTTATGAATTAATTTGTACAAAATAGGACGACTTAGTACAATTATGCTATTTTAAGAGGATACATTTTTTTCTCGAAACTGGATACATTTTGTTTTTACCAAGTTTATTATAAATTTAAAAATTTAAATTTATATTTCAATGAACCCGCAATAATAAAACATTTAAATTTGTGGTTCAATTTCTGAAACTTAGAACCAGAAAAGGCGTCACTTCAATAATGCATCATAAAAAGTTAAAGTAAGGTGTTAATACGATTGTATCACGGCTTTTTACGCTAATGTCAAATTTGTGGTTTTTGCAGTTGCGTCTTCCTGCTGCCTAAGTTATTTAGAATTAAAAGTTTTTACATATATTTGTCATATTTATTAACAATAATCTGGCATAATATAAACCCTACATTCATATCACATTTTTTAATTACTGATTTGAGCTTAAATTTAACTTTGGAATATACATAGTTTAAAAATATCTACTTTATAACTTTCAAAAGCTTGTAATAACTATTGTCTTTAAAATTTTGGCCCAATGAATAATGATTATTAAATTATCCTTTATTTAGAGCTGCTTTACTGCAGCAGATTGTCCTTTCTGTTAGGAATTTTTCAATTTTAGGATATATCTCGTCAGTACTCTTTCCAGAAAAATCGTATACGATATCCAAATTTTTATAAAAATCCAAAACTGGTTGCATGGTTTTCCAATAAATGTCCAATCGCTTTTCCAAAACTTCTGGCTTATCATCTTCCCGTTGAACTAAAACAGGATTTTCTTATTAGGAAAAACAAAATAAACATTACGTGTACATTTGAATATGGCAATATTTCTTTCAGTTTGTGATTTCATTAAAAATGGGCACCCATAAATGGGTAGGTACATAACTCACTTAAATCTTCTCCAGTGAGGTCATCTTTAAATGGAATCTTAGGTTCATTGAAACCAATATTATAAGCACGCCCACTAGGCAAGTGAACCCATCGATTTTTTGCTCTATCTATAATTAATTGAGTTGAAACTTTCAAATTTATAACAAATTCGACTGGATCGCTGTGCTGAAGAATCCGCGCTTGTTGTTCAGTCCTAGGAAAACCATCTAATAACCACGATCTGTTACCAATTTCATTTATACTGCTAGAAACCAGTTTGATTACCAAATCATCTGGTACTAATTTTCCTTCTTGTAAATACCGCTTTGCTTGTTGGCCTAATCTAGTATTCTTTTCAATATGCAGACGCAAAATGTCACCAGGAGCAACGTGATCGCAATTAAATTTTTTCAATATTCTTCTTGATATTGTTCCTTTACCTGCAGCAGGTGGTCCTAATATTACAGCTCGAAATATTTTTGAAGACATATTTTTGGTAAACATTAACTAAAATTATATTTTTCCAGAGTTTGGCTTTAAATTTAAAAATATATGTATAATTATCTTTTATGACGTAATTTGAAATTTAAACTTATTTTTATTTCAATGTTGCTTCATTTAACCGAAAAGTCATAATTCCACTACACATTACATCACATGCATGTATGGCTTGACATTACTAAAAATCAAGGACTGAACCACGGCTGACAACAATACAGGCCTGGACCCTAAAGCAGCATTTACACATACAAGTTACTTGCAAGCAAGTTTGTATAATATTAATTGTCAATTAGTTTTTCGAAATGTCAAATTACTTGCTATTATGACGTAGGCGTTTAGCAAGTTAATTTTTGAAAATGTCTTTGAGAAGAAAACAACTAGCAATATATATAATTGTTTATAAATTTTAGAAACCATAAGTTTGCTAAGTTTAATTTTTTCAAAACAAAATTCAAAAATTTTAAATTAAAAAAAAAAAAAAATCAAAACAACAAATTTTTTTTTGTGAATTTCTCAATATGTCAAATTACTTGCTCAAATTACTGGCAGCAAAATTTTCTTGCAAGTTGAACTGCAAGTAAACAAGCAAGTAGAAATATTTCAATGTGTTAGTAAAATTTTTGTATGTATTGCAACTGTCTTGAAAGTAACTTGTACATGTAAATGCTGGGTAAGAGAGCGTAACAGTTCACCGCTGACGAATTTACACGTGTTCTTATGGGATCTATAGAGGGCCCTTTTTAACATCATAAATCTCTCACAAGATAAACTTTTTTCAAATTTTTAATTAGAAAAAGTTAAAATTCAATCTTTTTCTACTTTACTAGTACCTACATTCTTACAGTTTTGTGTTATTAAATCTTTAAAAAATTGATTAAAAAAAAGCTTCCAGGTTCTGTTCATTTTTTAAAATTTCAATAAATGCTATGCTACAAAAAAAAAATAAGTGCAATTTTTTTTTTACCAAGTGTTTAGTAGATTTTGGTGTATTTTTGTAAATTTGAGAAAACGTACATATGAAATTAACAAGTTTTCTAATTTTGTATGATATATCTCCCAAAATGCATACTTATTATATAATCATGTATTAACTATATATGTTATAATGTGTATACTACATTCATTAAATTTTGCATTTTGGGAGACATATTGTACAAAATTAGTTAACTCGTTATTATAAAATGTACATTTTCTCAAATTTGAAATACTTTGAAAAAAAGAAATTGCTCTATTTTTTTTTCTTGTAGTGTAGCATTTATTGAAATCTTAAAAGAACGGAACTTGGAAGGTTTTATTTAAATCAATTTTTTAATGTTTTAATGACACAAAACTTTAAGAATGTAAGGACTAGTAAATTGTCATTCCCTCTTAGGGTCCAGGCCTGTATTGCTGTCAGTCGTGGAGTATGTACATAATGGGTAATATGTACATATGCACCTTTTGACAGCTAATTTGATTAGTATAAATTTATACAAGAACCACGGCATCCATAAATAAACGCCATGTGTTTGAGCCACGACTAACAGAATTACGCGACTACAGGCCTATGATCTAAGAGTGAATGACATTTTTCAAATTTCTACAAGATGTTAAAATTCAATTTTTTTATTTTATTAGTGCTAATATTCTATTAGTTTTGTGTTATTTGAATAGTTATATTTTGTGTCAAAAATTGAATATTCGCTAAAATGCTACACTAAAGGTAGAAAATATATTAAGACATATTTTTTTAGCTTATTTTGTTTTATATTCCAAAAAAAAATTTTTCATCAAAAATAATTAAAAATAAAATAAACAAAATGGATTCACAAATGGTTTTTCTAAGTTTCACCTTTTATAATCTAAAATCAATGCTTGATTAACACGTTGACGCTTGATAAAAAATTCGTGGGACCGCTCAAAAACACGCTATGCGTATCTTTGTTAGTTTTTGAGATATATTGACGCGGTAAACACCACACGTCTTAAAATCAAAATTTTAGTTAAAATAAATTATAATTAAAAAAATTTTTTTTTGACAACTATAGTTGTCATTTGCTTTTCGATACTCTTTTCCGCTGGAATCGCAAATGACAACTATAGTTGTCCAATTTTCATGACAACTACTGGTGTAATTTTTATTGTAAAAGATTACAATAATTATTTCTGAACAAATGGCAACTATAGTAGTCACATTATTTTTTGTTATTTTAGGCAGTTTTTGTAAAAGAAAATTATTGTATAGATTATTTTTATTTATTTCATTTATTTCAAGGTACATAGTTTCAAATATCTTTTAAGAAATATAACTTAAACAAATTGATAAATTAGTCTTATAATTCAGTCAAAATAAAAATTCAAAATAATAACAAAACACATATTTCTACTTTCTGAATAATTTTGTATAAAATTATGACAACAATAGTTGTCATTTGATTTTTAGTTCACTAATTTTTAATGTGGGGAACCCCCTATGTTTTTGCATATTTTATTAATAACTGCCATAAATATCGTCAATGCTACCAGCTATTTAAATTAATAGTTACTAGATTTAAATAAAAAAATGCTTAAGTGTCAGTGATTGTCAAAAATAAGACATTTAGAGTCTTTTTATTTTATGACAACTATAGTTGCTATTTTGATATTAGCAGATTTTTTTTTGACAACTATAGTTGTCATTTGCGTCAACGTGTTAATATTTCGAAATTTGACGTTTATCACCTATTTATAAAGTTTTTAAATGTTTTTTTCAACTTTTGCGTCTGGCTTTTTTGTTTTTGTTTGCAATAGGAATTGTTTTTTCTTTTTGACATAAATTAAGTCAAGGTCTTCTCTTTTTTAAGTGTTTTCAAGTTTTATACCACGTAGACCAAATGTTTTACCAGCTTTGTGATGTTTTTTCGAGTGAATTGTGCTAGATTAGTCAAAATACAATTCCTTTTTATTCCAATTTTAAAAGCTTAGTAGTTTGAAGGAGCTGGATGAAATTATTTTTATTTTATTTAACTTACAACCTATAGATATGTAAATGAATAGAATCAGCTTTTTAGTGTTAATATTGAAAGATAAGAAACAAAATAAATTTACAAAATTCGAATCTGTGGCAATTGTTGAATAAAATATGTAGATGTGATACATACATATATCACGCAATGAAGTTCTTTATAAAAATGAAACTTTTATACCTTTTTTTGCAAAGATTTTTCTATGTTCTTTTAAAAAGCGATTATGTCAAAAATGCACTTTGCATAATTTTTTTAAAACTCAATGCAAAATTATAATCCTTTGTGCAAAATTTGGCATTGAAAATGCAAAATTCCTAACACTATGTCTTCTTCTTCTTTCTTAGCTTCACAGTCCTCGATGGACCTGGGCTTCCGCTACAATCCTTTTCCACTTATTACGATCATTCGCCAACTGTTTGTAATTATTGATGTTCATCGTCTTCAAATCCTCTTCTACTGAATCTATCCATCTTCTTTTAGGCCTTCCCCTTCGTCTATTGCCTTCCATTTTATGAAGGAATATACGCTTTGTTGTCCTTGAATCAGGCATTCTGAGGACATGACCCAACCATCTCAATCTTTGTGATTTAATAAATCTTGTTATATTTTTTTGATCTATGAGGCTCTCAAGCTCGAAATTGTACCTTGCTCTATACGTTCCATCATTATTTCTTATTGGGCCATATATTTTTCTTAATACTTTTCGCTCAAAGATCTCCAGTTGTTTGCAATCGGATACTTTTAGAGTCCAGGATTCACATCCATACACTAACACTGGCCTTATAAGAGTTCTGTATATTCTGAGCTTAGTATTCTGTGACAAAATTTTTGAGTTCATAAGTTTAGAATACGTAAAAAGACATCTGTTAGCCGCTTGTATTCTTTCTCTGATCGCCACTGTTGTGTCCTCGTCTTTGCTATATTCTACACCCAAGTACTTAAATTGTTTTACTGCCTCAAATATATAATTTTCAACCGTCAAATCCTGCGATGATACGTTTTTTTTACCTTTTACGAAATATTTAGTCTTATCTTGATTTATAAGAAGGCCTATTTCTTTTGCTCTATTTTTTAAGAGAGTAAATGTCTCTGTAAGATTTCTTACATTCTTTGATATTATAACAATATCATCAGCAAATGCACATATTTGAATAGATTTAATGAATATTGTCCCACCGGGATCTATATCTTTAAGTACGTAATGCAACATAAGATTAAAAAGAAGAGTAGATAGTGCATCGCCTTGTTTGACGCCTGAATCGACAGCGAAAGATTCCGTGAGTACTCCATGGATCTTTACTTTTGCACTCGTATTTGTTAATGTAAGCTGTGTGAGTTTTGCTAATTTATGTGGAATACCCAATCTCAACATTATACCATATATCCTTGATCTATCAATACTATCGAATGCCTTCAGGAAATCTATGAACAGACAATGCACATTTTGCGAATATTCACTAAATTTTTCTAATATTTGGCATAATGTAAAGCATTGATCTGTAGTGGATCTGTTGTCCCTGAAACCGCACTCATAATCACCAATCACCGTCTCAGCTATTTGCTTGATACGGCCATATAGTATATTAGAGTATACCTTGTACGCGACATTTATGAGAGATATACCCCTATAATTATTGCAGTTCTTTTTATTACCTTTCTTATGAACTGGTATTATGACACTCTTTTGCCAATCATTTGGCATAGTTTCTTCATTCCAAACTGATCTGATAAGCTCATACAATTGTTTATGTAAATCTTTGCCACCATATTTTATTAGTTCGGCTGTTACGTTATTTTCTCCGCTGGCTTTTCTATTTTTTAATTTTTCAATTGCAATAATCACCTCTTCCATCGTAGGATCTGGAATGTTATTTTCCGCCGTATACATTATTTCCATTTCTTGGTTGTTATTACTATGTGCGCTAATGTTATTAAGCAATTCATTATAGTATTCTCTCCATTTCGTCATTATTTCTTTTTCTTCAATGAGCAGTATTCCTTGTTTGTTTAAACATGCGTTTATTTTCGGTTGATACGATGATGTTTGTATTTTAATATTATTGTAAAATTTTCTTACATGTCTTATAGAATCATTTTCGATTTGTTCAATTTGATTGTTTATAGCACTCCTTTTCTTTTTTCTCAATAATTTATCTGCTTCTTTTCTTCTCTGTTTGTATATTATTTGGTTAGCTCTTGTGCT